TTTTTCCTCTTTTTTTTTGCTCAGTTAAATGGGAACTTCACATCTTCCAGGTCCTTTTCGGTTATTTTACTGCCCCAATCATCCGAAATCAAGCCTTTTTTCAACGACTTTTCCTGTGGGCAGAGTTGGCTAAAAATTTATCCCCTGGGATAGTTTTAAGATTAACGCGAAGTGTGCAATTTTTGCTTGAAGTATGAAACATTGGTTTGCAAAGACCAGAGAAGGAACTTTTCGCGGTAAAAAGGTGGAGGAAGAGCGGCTGTCAGTCTGTCGCCAACGCTCGTGCCAACCCTAATTTCTCGTCGTCGTGACCGTTCCGCTGTGCTTCCTCGCCTGTTCTCAATGCTGGTCTCTCCCGCGTTCTTCCATGTATCGTCGCTTCTCGTCTGGCAGTTGATCTCGGTCATCTTGCGCACGCGCGGAAACCTTCAAGATCAACTTCAAGAAGGGGGAGTGATGCACATGATTTTCTTTCTGTTCCCTTCTCCATCAATGAGTTAACTGGCACCAGCAGCTTCATTTTTATTCTATTTATTGACGCAGGCATGAGCCCACGTGAGAGTTTTTCAATCCATATCACCTTCGAAATGTGATAGCCGAATATGCCTTCAACTACATATGACCAATCCAATGAGATAATGTTATCCTACGCAAAAACCAAGTGAGCAACAGAATATTCTTTATATTAAAAAAACAAGCCTCAAAAACCTTGGAGGAGGTTGTCCACAAGTAGCGTCCCTGTTGCGTTCAACATCATCGGCAGCTTTCGATTTCTTTTTCCTGGCCTTCTTCTTGGTACTGAACGTGTGCAGTTGATTACGGAAGAATACGTGTCAACCATGTGTCACCGCATTTTGTTAGTAAAACAAATTGGAAACCTTGAGGATTTTGTTTCTTGTTTGGGAGAAGAGCTCTCGATAGGACTTTCAGTATCGCCTGCGCATGATGACAACTTATTCATTGCCACATCACTGAAATACATTGCTTTCAAAAACTTAAGTTATGGGACAATCATGGAAATTAAGAGCTAAATGACCACACAAAATTGATCAACACAGGTACGCCTTTCATTTGAAAACACTACATTTCCTTCCGTGTCTTCAAACCTTGCAAGACTGAGAGCGGGAGAATCACAAAATGCGGGAAAGCGAAGAATCTATGGTATGTCTAGGATAACTAAACTTTCTGGTTCTATAAATTATCACTGCTGCACGGTGGGACGTAGTCCCAAATCACATTGTACGATTACTGTGAGATGGATTCTCCTCCCAAATGCACTGTACGATTACTGTGAGATGGATTCTCCTCCCAAATGCACTTTGACAGGTCTACGTCAATAGAACTGTAGCGCTGATGCCATTTAAAAGTGTGTGGTAGTGAAACTAGAGGCCACCTGGGTTTTTATATCTCCGTTGGACATTCAACACACATACGCAGGACGCGGCCACACGAAACACGCAGCTATATGGTCATAGTCAGGCATATGGTCAGCTGGTGGCAATGGTATGCAGAACGTGAAGACATTAGGAGCATCAAGGTTTCCGCAAGCCTCTAAATGTATTGCTCGCGCTTTTGGATGGTGAGAGTGCTGTACTTCTTCTGCTGTGGACTGATCATTTCGTGAACGTAATGAAACCATCTCTCGAAAATCGGGGCGTACAGTTACAGCTGCGTCCCGAGTGGAAGAGGAATGGAATGCAGTGGAAGTTAGCAGAAGTAAAGAATCTAACTTTTTCGGACCTTATCACGGATTCTCCATTCTCTGAGTTGCCACTGTCGCAAAGTATGAACCCAACCAAAGAGATTGCTCTGCGTCGATGAAAGGTGAATCGACATCGAGACAACTCGCCTTGTAACGATATAAGGGCGCGTTCACACTTCGCGCCTTCAAATATCCCTAGTCACCCGAGAAAGGCATAACAGCCGCTCAGCTCGATCGACCACTGCTGGATATCCTCTCCCCATCTGCGAAGGGCCGCTCAGTTGTTCTTTGTTGGGGCCCGGGGCATTAATCGGAATTGCATGTCCATTTATGATGACCGCGCTCGAGCTCATAAGTAACTATCCTTTAATACTATTCACCAGGAGCACATACTGATAAAATGGATTCATATAAGATTGTCGCATTTTATCAGCTATGGAAGCTACGCCCTTGGCAACGTTGGCTTGACACGCTGCACGCGGATCTAAAGATAGTTGGTGCTCACCCTGATCAAGCATTCGACCGGATGAAATGGCGTACCAAAATCAGAAGAGCGGACCCCGTCATAGAGCCTGACAAACAATGGATATTAAGAAGAAGAAGCACCTACACTCAACAGCAAGCCATCTCGTAAGGTAAAACGTGAAATCACTAGCCGGAGGAACAGTTTTTTCTGAGACAAAAGCTCGACGTGCACTAAAAAATCACACTACTGTTATCCTGAATTCGTACGCAGACTTTCTGAAAGTCTTTCTTTTACGAGTTTCTCGTCAATGTTTTTGTGGTTTTCGTATTCTTTTTCCTTGTAATGGATGATGTTCACTATTGGGAGATGCAAAAAAGCGATTTGTGAGCAAGGTTGCGGTTTCACAGAGACCGTGTTGCTGTCAGCGAGCGATTTTATCTATGGTGTTCTTAAAGATTCTTCTTGCTTTTTGTCTTGGTGAGGATTACCAGCTACTGGTTTATCATTGAGCACCAACTATCCATGACACTTAATCGCGGGAACTGTCTTTAAGGTAGCAAGGGTGCATCAGTATCTGCACGACGCCGAGTGACGTGCCATAGACTTGCCGGGAAAAGCGCAACAGCAAATTGACACCGTATCTGCAGCTTCTTCCTCTCCACGTCTTTACCAACTGTAAGTTGCTCAAAATATAATTCAGCGACATAGAAATTGAATGCGAAATATGTGTTGAACTCTCTTAAAATGGTAAACATTATTGAGGAAAAAAAACTATCCACTCAGCAAGCGCGACCAACCATGCCAAACTTGCTTTAGTTCGTTGTTCGACAACAGCTTCGATCCCATGACGAATCCGCATACTCAGCATCTTTCAGAAGTTGATTAACGTAAAGTTCACAGTATGGTGTTAGCTTTATCTGGAAAGGAAATTACACGACTGAAACAAGGGAGAGATGCGAAATAATGAACAAACCTCATGGGTATGAAAATGTCCTGCCTCGATGCAATGATGCTCTCTTTCTTCTTCGCTGTAAGAAACGTTCCGTACAGGACGCACATTGATATTTTCTGAAGAATGAAGAGGTAGAGTATGGGGCCAAGCTATTCCCTTCCAAATTAAGAGCGTAGTTAAGCGGTAACGTAATTCCCACAAGGCTAGGCGGAGAGGCGGAAGAAAAACTCTCCAGCAGCGCGCACGCATCGCGTGCCGAGCAATGTCACTGTGATGGAGAGGGTGGCAAAGAAATGGACGATGGCACGTTGCCATCACGTGGTATGATAGGTTACCTGTTAAACAGCCCCTGTTCGCTCTCGGTCGGTAGCGCGCAGAAAGAAGCCGGAGGAGACGGGAACGTGAGAGGGCTGGTTCCTGTGCGCTATTCTGCAATGGCAGACAGTAAAGATCCGATAATATTGAACCGATCACTGCATACCAATCCGAACGGCAAGCAGGGAGACTGGCTCATGATGACTGGCGCTGCTGCGAATTTAGGGTCGAGAGGCAGTAGCGGTATGTCGACTACCGTGAGCTGCGCAGTAGGAATCTGACGATGCCCCTTCGAGAGGCTCGCCTAGTTCGTAGATTGCGTCCATCGTAGATCGCTGTGGCAGTAAGGCGGGCGGAACACAAAAGTCGCACGAAGTTCGTGGCCTTAACCGTGCTGTGCTGTCCCTCTGCTAATGGAAAAAATTCCCCAGAGGCGATGATATCCCGGTATAATACATCGAAAAGAATGAATGAAAAAAATTCACGTTTCATTCATTCACATCGTTACCAAGGCTGCGCTTATACTGCAAAAAAACGATTCCCAAATCACGCGTCTGTGCCCGTTACTAATCGCTGGAACAAGTTAATTAAAAACAGTTTCTTTTGAACGTTCCATGTCCATTGACAAAATGCACGGCCGTCTACAATCGCGCGGATCCGGAATGACAAAGTTTGAACTCGTCCCTAACGCAGTCGGCGGGGAACGACTCACTAACCACTCCTACATTTACCTTCCCTTGTCAGAGCTTTCTCGGAGCGCTGTTGATTAGGGCTGCCGACAGTCATGTAAAGGAAGGGTCAACGGCACCGCTGGAGGCAGTGCTTAGACGCTCACTCTCCCCCCCCCCCCATACAGACTACGTTAGGATGTTTTGTGTCGTTTTCGAGCCGTTTTGAGTGAATTGGTGGGCTAAGGCAAAAATGAAACCATGGGTATCCGCCTAGTTCTGGGAGAAATGCCAAGTTTCGAGCGCTATGGGGGACTTGGCGTGATGAGCATCACAAACGTAAAAAAGTATAGGTATCGATCTAACGTTAAGGAAGCGTTAGCGTTTTGGGCGCCGCTCGAATACCTAATTCTTTTCACTGGAAACGATGATTCACTCGAAACGGAGAGTTGGGAAGTATAAACACAGATTGAGCGCTCTTTTTCTTGAAAAAGGTCTCTTATGAACACAGATCAGCTTTCCCCCTTCTTAACAACTCAGCCGAATGGACACGACCTTAAAAAGCGTCAATTGCCAAAACTCACCGATATGATAGGTGTTGGTAAATGTGCTGAATAAGATCATATTTGGAAATAGTGTTATCATCGCAAAGAAGGCACTTCAAAAAACATCTGAAAAAGGAATTATTACCCTTGTGTAGTAAAACACCTTACTAGAAGTAGTGATTAAAAAGCTAACTGAAAGAAAAACAATTTTACCGCTCTGTCATCCTCAGCGATTCCGTTGTGAACGAAGATGTACCGTGCAAAGATTCAGGTCCTTAACAAATTACTAATTAACTGCTGAGCCTTTGCAGCACACCAAAGCCACTGGTCGCAATGCGATAGTTACGATATACGTGCCAGTGCAATTATGTTTAGTCACTTATAACAGTGAGCAGTCGCAGTACTTTCGCTTTCCTTCTCACGCTCCGCTTCGTGAGAATGTAAACGTGAAATATGACCGCACTTGCCAGAGTAGTATTGAACGGGCGCTTTGAAGGAAAACTGTACGTGGCGGAAACAGAACTGTATCAATGAGGGAGCGTTCATAGTTTGTGGCCCGCGCGATTTTGCGATGAGCAGTGGAGCGCGCTTGCCGTCACTCTGATGCATTCATTGTCAAAGTCGGTTTCGGGATCACATGGAGTATGCTGTAGAACCTAAACTGAGCGACCAATGAGGGAAATCAAACGAGAGAGTGCGTTGAATAATGGAATGGTGAGGAACAAGAATGATTAATGCGATAACTGCGCCTCACTGGTAATTGCAGAACCCTAAGGCTGCGTTAAACTTTGCGGCAGGGTCCACCAGCGACCAATAGCGTCCACCAGCGTTCCGAGCGTCCGGCAGCGTCAGCGACTAGGAAAGTATAGATATCGATCTAGCATCTGCCAGCGTCTGTCAGCGTCCACCAGCGTTCTCCAGCGACCAGTAGCGATGGAGGGTAGCATACAGCTGGTACCCTCCTATCGCCCCATACTGTTTACCAGCAGGCTGCTGCTGGTCGCTGGTGAACGATGGCAGACGCTGGTAGACGCTAGGTCGATACCTTTGTCCATCCCTTGCCCACCAAACGCTGTGGACGCAGACAATGGAACGCTGGGAGACGCTAGATCGACATCTATCCTTCCTAGTCGCTGACGCTGCCGGACGCTCGGAACGCTGGTGAACGCTATTGGTCGCTGGTGGACGCTGCCGCAAAGCATGAACGCAGCCTAAGGCCACCGTTTGTAGGACTACAAGTCGACACGCATCCAACCATAATCGCGGATTCCTTGAACTGCCGACTACGAAGAGCGCCAAAGAAAAGATGGAGGGACGTCATCGGGAAGGAAATTTGTGAAATGAATGCCACGGGCAAAGGTTGGATCTGAACAAGTGCAACGTTTAG